TCTTATAAGAGGAAAAAGAATACTCCCAAATTTTGTCCAAATAGGCAGAAAATCTGTAATGGGTTTTTTGTGGGTAAGAGGTATTAAACTTATAAACTGCTTTATCTTTTTTTCCCCCTGGTTCTAGATATTTAATGGTTTACTATCATGAATTTGGAAAATTAGAAAATATTAGAGTCAGACTTTTGGATGTTACAAATTATACATCTGAGGTTTCTCCTTGTTTTGCAGAGTCTTCAGGGATAAATCCTAAACCAGGCCAGTTCACTGTTCCTCACAGTCTGGCTCTTGTGCCTCATTTGGGTCAATTATGTGTGGCGGACAGGGAAAATGGTCGGATCCAGTGTTTTAAAACTGACACCAAAGAATTTGTGCAAGAGATTAAGCATGCGTCATTTGGAAGAAATGTATTTGCAATTTCATATGTATCAGGTACTTTGTCTTAATTTACTTTTGTGTGTTTTGTCATATACTATATCCTTAAAAATTATTTGTCTTGTCTTAACATACTCTTTTTATAATTTTTTTTCCTATTAAGGGATTAAAGATGCCTTATATATCAGACCTTAAAATAATTTTAAAACTGTTAGTGCATTGTAAATCTTTTTCAACTCAAATGTTACTGTTCTTTATATGGAAATAATGAAAAACTCAGAGATTTAACAACTGCTTGAAATGGGTTAAAAAATTATTCCCAAAGATGGAGGAATAGGTAAATGCTATGCCTGATGCTTCCCAGGATCACATTAAAATTACAGTTAAATTATAGAACAGTCAACTTTGAGAATCATCTGAAGACTAGCTGAACAGAACCTCTACTCGTGTATCTCACCATAATCAAGACCATATATGACAAACCCAGAGCTAACATCATACTCAATGGGAGAAAGCTAAAGACATTCTCCTTAAAATCAGGAATAGGACAAGGTTGTCCACTTTCACCACTTTTATTCACATAGTGCTAGAAGTCCTAGCCACAGCAATCAAAGAAAGAAAGAAATAAAAGGCATGCAGATTGGACAGGAAGAAGTAAAATTGTCATTATTTCCAAATGACATGACGCTATATAGAGAACCCTCAAGATTTCACCAAAAAACTATTAGAACTGAAAAAGGAATTCAGCAAAGTAGCAGGATACAAAATTAACATTTAGAAATCAGTTACATTTTTATACGAGGTCTGAAATTCTTGCAACNAAGATGAGAAGAAAACAATAGTAGAAGAAGAAAAGAAGTGAGAATGATAAATTTGAGGTATCAGGAGTGGCAACAGGCAGTTTTAGAGAAATAATAAGGACATGTGGGCTTCATTAAGGTAGAAAATACTATAACAAGGAAAAAATGCAGAGTATCAGAAGGAAAAAAATACAAGTTATAATGAAGAAGTCAGATACCATACAGGTCTTGGAGCCCAAGTAAATCTGATAATGGCCATCTTCAGAATTATCCTTTGAGTAAGTTTTGCTGTTATTGTAATAAGGACCCAGTTAGGGTTGAGTGCACAGAAGCGCCCATGGAGCAGTCCACTCCAGCAATAGCCTCATATCCCCCTCGCAAGTGTGACTCTCCCACCACCCGCCTCCTCAAAGAGGAACACAAGGTGTGGACAGACAGGAAAGCACGGATAGGTGGATAATTCCCAATTGCATGACTAAACCCAGGCTTCTCAGAATGAAAAAATGAATACATACCTTTCGAGACTGAAAAGACTTCGGAAATCTATTCAATGTCTTCATTTTGCAAATAGGGATATGATACTTGAACTCATTAAGACTTCAGTCTCAGGCTTTTTATACCGCCACCCAAGTGGTTGGTACTTAACAGAGATGCATATTCAAGTCACACCTGGGGAGGGTTTTCAAAATACACATGGCCAGGCCTTACTCAAGATCAATAGAAAGAAGAATGATGATGTGTGTATTTGGAAAAGCTTCCCAAGTGGTTTTGATATACCCCCTGATGGAGAAGCACTGCAGTATAGCTTTCAGCTTTGAAATAGAAAAGCCCTCTGCATAGTCCAGAACGTAACTAAATAATAATTCAGGATAATTGTACCTTTGGAACAGTAAGACTGTCATCAAAGGCTAAATAAGTGTCATGCGTATTTGCATTCTAGTATTTAACTAGTCAAATCCATTTACTCGTATGTCAGCTAGAAGACTGGCTATTGTACATGGCAGAACTAATTAGCTCTAAGATGTCCACATGAAAACAGAACTACTTGATATTTCAGAAATAAAACAGTATTATGAACTCTATAAGGTAAATCTCATTTTAAGGATGAAGACCTTAAAAAATATTATTTCAGCTTTTCCTGGGAGATTTTAACCAGGATCCATGGACCTGGCACCTAATTAGTGGTTTGTATTAAACGTTTTTCTAATACAGTGATGCCTTTTTTTGAATTAAGGAAATGTTTTTTTTTT